CCAGGCCGTGGGGACTGCAGAGCGGGTGCTTAGTGAGTTCTGGGGCTTCAGGAGGTAGGAGGCGATCCCTGGCAGGAGTGGGCTCCACTCATCCCAGGCTGCATGAGGGCCAGCAGGAGGCTGAAAGGAGAGCTGCTCAGTAATTGCTCTGCCCATTCCTGCCAGTCACCCCAGGACATAGAGGGGGATGTCTCTCTTGCCAGGGTGGGTGTTTGAAAACTCAGGATCATTGGCAGGGAAGATATAGGTACCTGTCTCCACCCAGAGCACCTCCGGACAATCCTAGCAAGCTGCAGCAGCTGTGGGCTGCTCTCTTTGATCTACCCCTGTAACACTTATGTCACCTGTGTGAAATGTGCTGGTTGGTGCCTGTGAAACTGATAATGTGGATGAAATGACCAGGGCTCTATATCAATTGCTCTGAATGCCAATAGAACTGCCTGTGACCTCCTGGCTGTAGGAATTTTGAAGCATTCTGTAGATGTCTAGGGTATTCTATTAAAAGACTATAGGACCCTGCTGCTGGGTCAGCCCAGTTCCCAAGGAACAGGGGTCCACAGCCTGAGAACTACCGCCACATATTGGCACTTGTTAGCCCCACTGTGGACAGTCTCAGCAGAGGAACCAAAGTCTGAATGGGCCATGGAGAGTGAGTTTCCCTCTCACGCCTAGCGAGGGCCATAGGAGTTGGAACTATGGATGCTGGGAGGGCTGCTGCAATCCCTGGCTTGAAACAGTTTTCATCCTATACAGGGTTTACACTTTGGTTCAATGGCTCTCAGCACCCCCACTATACAAATTGTTCCAGCACCCCTGGCAAGGGCCTCTCCAGGCTAAGGGAATGTTGGTGGGGCAGTGTGGGGAAAGAGAAAGTATTTTTAAGTGCATTTCAAACAACTGAGTAAAGCAAGCAGGCCCCTGTGCGCTCTTTTCCTCCCCTCCCTCTCATGTCTAGGGAAAAGCTAAGATCTCCAAACACCCCAGATGTCACCGGCTGACATCCACTGTGCTTTGATCGCACCAGGCCTCACAAACTGAGCAAGGCCAGACCAGTTCTGCCTTGGATAGGAACCCTTGAAGGACAGCCTGGGTGCTGCAGGAAGTAGTGCTGATTTAGTAGGGGGTGGGCTCTACTGCAAGTCAATGCCCAACCCAGTAGAGAGCCATGCAGTTCAGACCACCCCGCTCCCACCCCCTGACCAGCCAAAGTGCCCTGGTGTTTTCATGTCTTTTGGCTTCTCTCTAGTCCTACCTTTCTATTTTGTTTCTCTACTAAAGGGAATGGCTAGAACAGGGAAATGATCCCTGGCTCCTGACCACCTTCTCCTGGCTGGCTGTGTCTGCCCAGGGACTGAGGCAGGTGAACACAACAGCCTTAAAGGAGGAGTTGGCCCTAGCCTTTGGATCAGGCTCCCCCTATCAAAGAGCCCCAACTCAGGACTGTATTTATCTTTCCATTTTGGCATCATACATCCCCCTGCCTCTGGCTCATGAGCTGCCATTGCTTCCATGGAGTTGCTGGTGTGGCACTAGCCAGCGCATGTGGGGTCACTGCCACTGGGAGCTGGGTACTCTCCAGCCTGGCAGAGCACACGGGAGAGGTGCTGACAGCTGGGTGGGCTGAGCTGTAGGGATGCCAGCTAGATCAGCCCCCAATGTGCTCGTGTGCAGATGCGCCACTACTAATGCAAAATGGATCCTGACAGCATCCAGGTCACGCTCTATTCCAAGAGAGGCTACCCCGGTCCTGCCTCTTACACAAGAGGAGCCTTACACATGAGGGAATCAAAACGGGGCTTGTACCTGCAACAATTCCAGCAGCTGAGCAGGATTATGCAATGACCAGTCTTCCAAATGTTCATTTGGGAGCTGTGGCCAAACAACCTGGGGTGAAGGAACTAGGTCTTAGCTACCCCAGGAGTGCACCGGGCTCTGGCATAAGGACACTGTGGTGGTAGCCACTATTTTGAATTCTATGAGTGCATTCAGTGTCTGTCGGTGAGGGGCTGGAACCTGATAGAGAAGAGAGTGTGTAGGCCTTCTCTTCCAACAGCTATGCTACTGCACTGCAGTCCTCACCAGCAGCCCCCAGTGCTGGATCCTAGACACACAGCTCTGCTGCGGCCCCTCACCAAGGCCAGAGTAACCCATTCCTGAGGCCTAGGCAAACATTCACTTCTGGGCCCCTACCGTGTTGGAGAAAGAGCAGTTTGTTTACTCAGTGCCCTTGGCTCTGTTGGGCGTGGCACAGTGTGGCTCAGCTGGGTGTTAGGACTTCCTCTGCCAGCCCAGCCACTGGGGCCGATTTGTGCGCACGCTGAAAGAACTTCACTTATTCGAGTGAGCGGCGTTGCAGCCTGAAGCACGGGGTCACAGTGCCGCTCAGCTTTGGCCTGGTTAACCCCTTGTCATGGTGGAGGAACGTCCGGGCCAAATTTGAGTGGTGGCGTGACGCTGTGTTCCAGCTCGCTATACCATTAACTCAAGTATGTGAAGTTCTTTCAGGTCAGGGGCAAACCCACATCGGGGCAAACCCACATCGGGGCCTTAAGCATGTGCCTCATTTGCCTATGTGTTAATCTTGTCCTGCCCCTCAATCCTGACCTATGGCTCCCCATTCTCTCCCCTGACCTTCCAAGTCTGGGTGCCGCACACACAACTTTGCCCATGTATTTCGGCCCCAGCCTATCCTACCCACCTCCACCCCTCTGCTATTCCAGTCGAATCAATTCAAAATTAAAGCTGAACAGGTAGGCTGAATATCAGGTTGTGGGATAGTCAATCAAAGGAAGTGGAGGAAGCCCCGTTGCTTGGGACGTTGAACACCGGACTGGGCAAGGCAGTGTTGAAGAGACTATAAGCAGGGCCCCATGTTCTCTGCAGCACAGTGGGACCAAATGTTGTGGCCAAGGGCCCCCCTAAATTCTGCATCAAGAATCCCTACATTGCTCAGCAACGTTAGTGAATTTAATGTATTTCCATGAAATACACTCCATTCCCACCCCTCTGACACCCAAGCACACACCGCTATGAGTCATCATTTAAAACACTCATATGATAGATCATTCACCAGGGATCGTTTTCAGCAACAGGCATTTTTGACAATGGATTTTGTTGCTCATTTCTCCACAGGTCCCAGCACTCTGGGCTGCCTTCAGGCATCATGATGTTATCTAGGCAGCCTGATTTAGTCTCCCAACCATGATCATTGCAGGAACCATCCTACCAATATGACTCTCAGGTCTCTGCTGGACCTGTCCATACCAACGCAGCCTAGCCTCACCCAACTTGTCTTCAGTTGGGCCAACCTGGATTAGACCCCTCCCAACCTTATTTCATTTCATATCACAGAGCATCCAACTATTTGACCGTCTCAACATCTTCATTTCCATGGTTGAGAGCACACTGATTTCATGTCTTGTGGCTGGCCAGGTCTCTGTTCCATGCATTCAAATGGGTCGAATTACAGTTTTGTACACTCTGCCTCTTAACTTTACTGGTATCTTTGTATCACTGAGAACTGGGGTCAGCTCCTGCATTTGCACCAAGCAGCTTTGGTACGATGCCAGACATCACTCAGGAGAACGCCCTTGTCCACAACCATTGATCCTAGCTATTTCAGTTCTTCCACTCTTCTAAGCTCTCTGCCTGTGCTATCCTTTATGGTAGGTCCTCCTTCCTCAGCCTTACCAATGCTCACACTAAGTCCTGCCTACTGAAAACTGTATTGTCACTGTTAAGTGTTGGTTTGCAGGGTCTCATAGTCTTCTGCACATATCACTAAGTTATCCGCGAATCGCATTTTTCAAGGCAGTTCCCTTCCGGGATTCTCACTTATCACATCCAGGAGAGCTGCAAACAAAAACGGACTCAGCGCAGACCCTGGTGCAGGCCAACATTTACTGGAAATTCTCTCCCGTCGCCCCATTTGGTTTTTGACTACAGTACTCGCTCCATCATACGTATCCTGGATAAGATGGACATATCCTTCCAGTACACCTCTCCATCACAAACTAATTCTTTTAGAGTACGACCATACCCCTTCTCCAAGTCCACACAGACCAGGCCCAGTTGCCGTCTCTTTACTCTGACCTTCTCCATGGCGATCCATAAAGCAAATATGGCATCAACTATGCTCCTTTCCATCATAAAGCCGTGCTGACCCTTCCAAATTTCAACTCTTCCTCATGGATACTTTTCAGTAATCGTCTCCCACACCTTCATAGCAGGTGACGTCCACTTAAGTGGGCGATAATTAACACACAGTGTAATATCTCCTTTCTTTTTAAACATGAGCACCACAAAGGTTTTACATCATTCATTCAGCATTTTCTTTTTCTTAAGAATATCATGGAACGGACTTGTAAAATCCTTGATGCCGTCCCTTCCCAGTGACTTCAGCACATCCAGACTTCATCTGGTCCAGGTGCTTTCTCCTTTTTCATTTTCCTACATGTCTGTACAACTTCTTCCTCCTTTATGGAGGGGAAAAGGGAAACTCTTATTTCAAACCCAGGGTGTGGGGCTTGAACAGCTGACCTGTACTGCTTGTCCAGTAGATATGCTCACGGGAACTGATGCCCGGTGCGCCTGGCTGCAGCAATTTAATGGAATGTGCAGCAAAAATGCTGAGTTCTGTGCTACGTTGTGGAAAGGCCATATTCCATGCGCATGGAGTTATGGAGCCCATGGGCCCTGACTGAGAAAAATGGGGCAATTCTCCTCAGAACCAGTGTTTCAGGTTTTCTGTCGCATTTTTGAGGTTATCTTCCCACCTGTAAGGGCTAGAAGTTTCTTTTCTTTTAAATGAAAGCTGAGATTCTGGAGCACAGTTCGGTGGCAAGAAGTGACTTCTACAGCCAATTTTATGGCCGTGGATTACACAGGGCCTTGACTGTGAGGGAACGGAGGCCTGGGCTGGATGGCCCACAGAGCCTTTCAGACTCTCATTTGCAGGACACTAACATTGATTCCTTGGGCTCTAATTTTTTTCCTTGCAGCTGAATCAGAGGAACACTGTCCAAACGTTAATTCCTGTGAAGAAGATGGAGAAAGGCCTGCTGCTGGAGCACATCCTGCGCAACCTGAAGGTTCCCCAAAGCTATGAGGTTCGCCTGACGCCCATCACCGATTTTGGGGCTGGTGATATGGCTGCCCGCATCATCCGATACATGGAACGTAGGTATCTTCCCCCTACATCCCACCCAACAGAGCAGGGGCAGGATCCTTTTCAGCATCGGGTTGTTGGGTTATGATTACGGGAGGGAGTCTCAGGGTGATGCAGTGTTGTGGTGACGCAGTGCCATCGATGCCCTTTGACCATGGCTCTGCAGCCTTCCTCACCATGGGACCCCATGCAAAGACTTGGGGTAGGGAGCCAAATTCATTTTACATAATGTTATGTTCTTTGACTTCCAGCCCGTTCCCAGTCAGGCTACATGGCCCCTTTACTGGTGGATGATATTAGGCTCCTCCGTTCATGTTAGGGCACAAGCCATGGGCATTGTGTTGTAGCCGGACTGACCACAAAGGAGAGAGGATCTGGGGGGGCCTTGGAGCAGTTTCTTCCACAACTCTTTTCGTAGCTAAGCCAATGTGTTGTAGCTGTGTTCTAACTCCTGTGGAGCGCAGGGCCCTCTCCCTGATCCTGCGGATCACTGGACATACACTCCGCTCCCACACCACATTCCTGCAGGACACCAAGCTGCTTTGATATGCTGTCAGATAGTTGCCCTCTCAGTTTCACTCAGGAGTTTGGGCTCCATCAGTTCAGCATGCAAAACCCACCTATTTCAGTTCCATGTGATTTTGCACAACTTTCCATTCCCACGGGGTACTAATGTGCCTTGGTTTCCCTAGGGATTCCAGTCCCCTTTAGTTGCACACCAGCAACTAGGCCCTATTGATTTCCTGCAGGGTGGCAGACCCTATTCTAAGAGCTACCTTAGTTTTCCACTGGGTGTTAAGCAATGTTGCGCTGAACAAAAGTTTTGCATCTGTGGTTCTGTCTGCATTTTGAAAATAGAACTGTGAACCCACAAACTCAGGACCTTGGTGTGTCCCAAACACAGGGATTCTCTCATTTGCAGCTTAGGGGCTGTGGGTGCTTTGGGCATTAGTCACATTTCTCAGTTTTGATTTTTTTTTTCCCTTGGGGAAACACATGCTGTTCTAAACCCTCTTGTTTTCTGTTTCCTTTCCCAGCGATTAACTATCCCAACCCGGCAGGTAAGCAACGAGGCCTCCAGTTTTATTTTTGACTATACTAAGCAATACCTGCTGGGGCAGCCATGGGCAACTACCAGACTTGCCAGAAAGAATGGGGAGGTTGCAGCCATGCCTGGGGTGCTGTGTGGCACAGGTGGCTTTGCCAGTTCCCTTCCCCTAAAACAGCATGAAATTTACAAGCACTGAAAATTTCCTCCACCAACAAGTGCTCTTTGTTGTAACCCTTCGTGTCGACAGGAGAAATACGGCAAAGAAACACATCCCACTTACACCTGCTGTACATATGACCTCCAACACAACTCTCCTAACTTTAGCAACATGCTCCTATCAAGAGGGGCATCAGCAACTCGGCATTGTCCCAACAATGTCTGGCTTTTTCGGAATAACCCGTCTGGTCTGAATTGGGAAGGGAGCTGCCTGATACCCCTGCGGGATGTTGGAGAATGTTTTTTCCAGCATGGATCTTCTTCCCTTGCAAACACCCACACCCCCGTTCCTTATTCTCCTTTCCCAGCATTGTTCTTTTGCCCAGCAATTGCTCTTCCAGTTATGCCCTCTGGGGGATACACTTCCAGCCCAAAGCTTTAAGAGCTGGCTGCAGGGCCTGATTTTTCTTAGGTACTGAGCACCCATAGTTCCCGTTGACTTTGAGCTGAAAGTCCTCAGCATCTCTGGATAATTAACAGGAATAGGACGGTGCCCAGATTTCTTGAGAGAGAATTGTTTAGGGTGGTCCCAGAAAGTTAGAACTAGTGGTGGAATCATCTCCTCCGGGTGGAGGAGGGGATGCCCCACTGGCTGAATCACAGGGAACTTGGCAAGGTAAATTGGGGAGAAGTTCCCAGGTTGACAGAGCACTGACTGGTGGTCCACAGAGAGCAGGCTGGTCCCGTAGTGGTGGCTCCTCCTCCTGTTTCTAGCTGCCAAATTGAATGGAATGAAATGAAATGAAATGAATGAAACAAGGTGTGGTCCACACTCTGAAGAGGTTTTTGAGCCCCTGCGCTAGGGAGTTTTCTGTAGGAAAAGGTTCTGCCCTAGCTAGGGGCAATAGCTTCCTATCTAGTCATGAGGCTTTTCTGTCTGTAATTCGTATGATTCTGGGACTTCCCTCCTACTAGCATGTCCCTTCCCACACGCTGCAGCGTGGCACCTCAAGTGTCTCGTGTGCTTCCAATTCCCACGTCTCTTGAGTGAGGGCTGCAGCTTTGCCCCTTCTCCCAGCTGCTTGCCGTCTCTGGTGAAGACGCACTGAGAAACATTAAACAAATTGCCAGGGTCCTGTATTCTGTGCATCCAGAACACGTTCCCTTCTGCACCTGGCCTGGAGAGAGATCCCATCTCAGTGAATGGGGGAAATCTTTCCTTCTGCCACTTCTTTTCATGTACACATAGCTCTCGGGAAATCCTGTGGGGACCTCTATCTCAAGAGTGACCATGTCCTTGAGCACTTGAGAAGTGGGGCCTCCAAAATCTGCCATTTTGGCTGCTTGACAAGGGCCACAAGACTAAAACAGACCTGATGCAAATGGGTACGGTTACAGCCCCCCTTATATTTCAATACAGGAGAACAGTCGCAGGTCCCACATGGTGTGCTCCATCTTGAGGCAAGCTGCACTGAATGCTGGGAGCTATATGCTGCTCCTTGTGGGTCCTGCCCACCGCATGAAAAATGTGAGAACAACTGCATTGTCGTTGGTTTGGCCATCCCCACTTTATAACAACACCCCTTCTCTTCAGACCTGCTGACCAGCGAAATATGGTCACAAAGGCTGCTAGCTTTGTGTCCATGCTGCAAAGATGATAACCAGAATGGTACCCCACCCTTTGGAGCTGCTGGCTCCACAGATCAGCAGAGTGTGCCTCTTTGCCCTTAACTCTCCTTCCTTCCACTTTGAATTCCCTCCCAAATACCCAGCTGTCTGGAGCAAAAGGCAAAGATGAGATGATTAATGCCCACAGCAGCCTGATCTAGGGCACACATAATGGTGATTAATGTACAGACTTGGAGTGTCACTTAATATAATTATTTCTTCATGCATGTTCTCTTCTGGCCTAATAAGATGTTAATGATGTTGGGCCATGCATGCATGTGGCATGGTTACAGGTGCTGGGGTTATACAGTATCAGCGATCCAAAGGGAGGGGAAGGGATACTTAAGTTTCATGCACTTTGAGGTTAGAGACAGGAGTGACCATAACCAATAAAAATATATCCAACTCTAAGAAGTTAAGTGATACCTTCTGTTGTTTTTACTGGATCCCTAACTCCCTGTGGTCAGTAAAGATCTCTTGGCACTTACTGTAAGACTAAGAGTGTTAACCCAGGGCCAAATTCTAGCTCGGGTGAGTCTGTTCTTTCTCCCAGAACTCCTCCTGCTGGTTCAGTTGATTACAATCTTCACTTCCTATTCTAAACTCTTCTTACTCTTGTGCAGAGCTTGTGTGTGCAGTCAAACAGCTGCCATGTTCCACTCCAGAAGTGGTTGGTGAACTGATTTCTTCGTATGTCCAGTGCAGCATTCTGACATCCTTGGAAATTATTCCTAGTGAAATATAAGAGATTATTGTTTTCTCTGCCACAGGTCATCCCCTTCCTGAGCAGGAGCAGTGTTCCAGTCTCAATGCACTTTGTGCTAATGCGATCTGTCATCTATTGCACGCAATAAAGGGTGATTAGCCCATAGGATTTACCATGCCTGAATAGACCTAAGGAGATTGATTCATCCAGGCCATTGTTTACACTTAGTGCTTCTAGCCCTGCCTCGGACAATGGCCAATGGCAGATGCTCTGGAGAAAGTTGAACCTCCTCCCACACTGTGAATGTGCGGGAGTAAGAAATGAGTTGAGTGGTTAGAGCATGGGTCTGAGATTCAGATTTCTCGAGTTCTATGCCCAGCCTTGGGAAAGGAGTATGTGTGCCTAGTGGCTCGAGCACTAGACTGAAGTTGGAGACTCCTGTTTCTATTCCCTGCTCTGTCATTGGCTCTTTGTGCAATGAGTGCAAATCAGGCTGTACATCGTGCTCGGTCTTAATTTGCCCACCTGTAATATGGAGATAATGGTTACGTATCTCCCCGGGGTGTTCTGAAGCTCACTGAATGAATGTTTATAAAGCACTTTGAGATCCTTAAGTGGAATGCATTATGGGTCTAATAATACTGAACACTCTTATATAGTGCTCTTCATCCTGGCATCCCAAAGCACTTTACAAAAGGCGATTAAGCATCACTGTCCTCACTGTACAGCTGGGGAAACTGCCACACCGAGGGGAAGTGACTTGTCTATAGTCACACAGGAAGTCAGTGGTAGAGTGAGGATAGAACCCAGCTCCAGACAGTTCCATGTCTTAGCCATCAAACCACTTCTACTATATCCTTTTTGAGACGGGGTGACCAGAACTGCACACTGTATTGAAGATGTGGATTTATTTTGTGGCATTTTGGTATTATTTTCTGTCTTATTATCTGTCCCTTTCCTAATGGTTCCTAACATTCCATTAGCTTTTTTGACTCTTGCTGCCCATGGAGTAGATGTTTTCAGAGAACTGTCTCAGAGCCCAGAGAAATGTTGACCTCTTCAGAGGTTGCTTGGTTTTGCTGTTTGGCTTGGATGGAGTGGAAGCATGGTCTTCTATTTTAAAGCACAGGACTAGGAGTCAGGACTCCTGGGTCCTATTTTCAGCTCTGCCTCTCTCTGTCTGTAACCTTGGATGAGTCCCATCCTATATTTGCGCCTTGGTTTCTCCAATCATAACATGGAGATCATTATATTTCCCTACCTCAGAGAGGGACTGAAAGGCCTAGTTCGTTAATATTTGAAAAATGCTTTAAGAGCCTCAGGTGAGAAGTGCTAGAGACTGGCAAAGCATTACACATATTAAGGTCCCCACCACAGATTCTCAGCAGCCTGTGTGTGCATGCCTCACAAGCATTGTCAGGTTCTGGTGTCTATTGGCTCTGGGATGGTTCTTCACTTCCTGCCCTGGTGTGAGAGGTGCTTCCTTGAACCTGAGAATTGGGTACATTTCAGTGAAGGGGAAGGGATTCCAGCCTGGGGGTATTTTAATATTAAAGGAGTTACAGGCCATAGTTCTGTTTCATGCCCAGGAATCTATGTCTTGGGCTGTGGCAGGTGGTCCCCTGTGGAACAGTAATAGTGGTTTCTAATGTTAACTGCTCAAGTTTTCTGTCCCATTCTGTGAGGGGCTTCATCTCACAGGGTCTCCATTCACGTGGCTGTTTTCACAGCAATTCTGTCCCTCCTCACCATCGACCCTGGTCTCACAGGCTCCTGGGCACGCCCTGTTGTTCACCATCAGAGGCCCAGCTAGCGCTAAGAGCCACCCAGAAAGATGACTCCACATACATTTGTACTAGCCGCACCTGGTCTTGAGTGTTCCCTGGGCCCTGACAAGTCACAGTTCAGTATCTGCCTTTCTGTTCTCTCCTCCCACCCCTCTGCCATCTTGAGGGGTTTTTTTGGGGGGGGGGGGTCCCCGTGTTCAAGTTCAGTGAATTTTGCGCTGGTGAAAAGTACAGCCTGTCACCCCAGAGACAGAATTGCTCTGCCCGTTCCTAGGACAGGCTTCCCAATCTCCTAGCATGCCCTGCCCCTGCCAATGTGCCTTTTCATGGAGCTGTTCCTTGACACAGTCATTTACAAAGATGTAACTTCAGTGGATGTCACCGTGTAGGGCAATGCCGTTGTAAAGCGAACTCTGTGTCCAGACAGCCACAAGGCACAGGTGGACATGGAGCTGAGTCCTCACCAGCACCCCCAAGCCCTTAAGGGTGTCCCCACAATTCAGATGCTGTTCCTTTCCATGTTTTCACTGTGTCACACACCAGCCTGCGTGCTCAGTCACTCTGAGTGGGAAGTATGTTTTGGGTAATGACACACAAATGAGCACACCTTGCATTCAGCGAACCACAACCAGCAACCCGTGAACTGTAGTTGGGATTACCCAGGGGCTAAACCATGGCAAGTAGTTCACTCTGGCAGGGCTGATTGTGCTGGTTTGGGAGCTGGGCCTGCTGGAGGTGAAGCCAGGCATGTTGGTACAACCTAAGCACATTGGATACTGGTGGGTACCAGCCTCCTCTGTCGTGATCTGAAGGTCTCAGCGCATCCAGCAGCACAGCAGGTCTGGATCTCAGCCATCTTATTCACATAACCCCCTGGAAAAGACACGAAGCAGCGGCTGTCTCGCTTCTTCCCCTGCCTTTTGGAGCTGAAGATAAACCAGCCATGGAGAACATATGACAGTGATCCCCATGCCTCCAATCTCCCAGGCTCTTGCCAGGTCCAGTCCCCACTTCTCCCTCCTCCTCTTCCAGCTTCAGCTGCAGAGCAGCCCCCTGCGCTCAGCACTACAAAGCAATAGCTAATTTGGATTAGGATGCTAATTAGAAATGAATGGACTGAACGGAGAACACTTAGCCAGGGTTAATCAGGAGTTAAATGGGCAGCCGAGCTCCCTATGACTGCATTCGGCAGTTTCCTGCTGAGCTCCAGGGGCCTGCATTCAGCAGCAAAACCCAGCTGCCCTGGTCAGTGAACCACTGTGGTTGAGTCCCTCAATGGACGGAGCATATGGCTCAGGTGGTAGTAAGGACCGTGTATGGATCCCAGTGGATCTCAGAAGAGGTCAATTTTTCTTCCTTTTAACCCTCCCAAGTCTAACAAGGTGGGTGCTATCCAGTCCCCATAGTGATGTGCCATCAAGGAGAGACAGGCATACAGTAGAAAGAGGGGACAACAATTTAGAGCCCCAAGTTCTATACTCTAGATAAGGTCTCCGGAGACACTGACTGAGCCACTGAAATCCACACGACCCCAGGCTCTCTCCCAGCCAGTTCCTGAAGCGAGCCACATCTGGAATCACACTTGCTGGGGATACAGGAATTTGGAAACATAGGAACTGATGTCAGAGCACAATTCTCATTTACATACCCACAGGGGAAATGTGTTGCTGGTGCTTAGTGCTCAGCTTGTGTCCCAGAGCAGGAGGATTGCTAGCCCCTGTCAGTTTCTCCTTTTAAACGTGTTGCTTCCCAATTTCATTGGGTGCCCCTTGTAGAGAGGAGCTCCCGGTGGAGCTCTCCTGCAGTAGCTCAGGGCACTGTTAAGAACCAGGGCACAAACGCCCCATTGGCTGTGAGTGCTATTCTTCGATTTCACCAGCCAATTATCAAGCGTAAACACCTCAGGTGCTATAACTTTACCTGGAGTCCCAAACAGTCCCCTTCGGTACTCCAGGTAAGCCTGCCTTTGTGATAGATACACCATGAATCACAGGAATATTCAGGTTACTCACAGTCCCAAAGAATCAGTCACTTACTCCAGGTCAGTTGCACTTCAGCTCGCATACCAGAGACAATGTTTGTAGCCGATCCTATACTAAACTATCTAAAGATTTATTAACTAGGGAAAGGAAATGAGTTATTTACAAGATTAAAGCAGGTGAACATACATACACAAATGAGTTACAATCTTAAAATTCAAAAGGTAATAGAAGCTTCTATAATAAGCAAATTCTATATGTCCTTTAGGTCTAACCGAAGCTAAGCAGCTGGGGATCCCTTGCTTATGCCTAGAAACCTTCTCCCCCTCCCCCCGAGTCGAAGCAGCAGAGACATCATTCCTCCTTGTTAGGGGGTTTTATTCCCTTTCCCCCACCCCTATCTGCTTTGAGCTGCAAACTCAGCTCATGAGAGGAATTCACTTGCGTGACTCATCTTCGTGGGGTGGGCAGGGGAGAGTAAACAACAAAGTCTTTTGTCCTCTTTAATGGTCCACTCTAGTCCTTCTGATGTTGATGGGCCTTCCTTGTCAGTCAGGACATAACAGCTTCTGTTGGATGCCTGTGTTTCACACTAGTTTATGTCTCTGTCCTGTCTGGTATTTACACAGTTACAGAGGCTTACAATGCAAATGCTCAAATATTACCTTGCAATATGGGATACTGATGTTGTAAGTGAGATCATGTTGAAACACTAAACACATCCTTCTAATTCTAATGCCTATTTTAACAATACTAAGACACAGGTGAGGCAGACTGATTCTAGCAATGTATTTGTCAGTGTTCAGTGGAAACATGGGGACCTTGGCATGAGCTGGCACCTGGTCTGTCAGGGTCACAATCCTGATTTACCTTTGCTGCATCATTCACTAGTTTTTATAGCTCACTTGTGTTCCCTCCAATTCGCTTCCTCTCTAAACTGAGCAGTCGCAGTCTTATCCAATTTCCTGACCTATGGATCTCTCTCTCCAGCCTCTAATCATTTCAACTGCCATCACTGGACCCTGTTCTATTTCTGCTCTATTTCTTTCCTACATACAGCTCCCATTGGCTTCAACAGAATCCCAGTGCAGGCATCCAACGTCAGTGGATGGGCCTTGATCTCCTTGACCTAGGACTAGTCCTTTATCATAAAAGTTAAAGGTGGCAAAGCCTTGTCAGGTCCCATTTGGTCCACTCTGTGGGAACCAATGTAACGTCAGGTCTACGCTAGAAGCTTTTGCGGAGTAGTATTGTTCGTTGCGGGAGGAGGGTGACTTTTTAAAAAAACATTTCTGTACCAGCAAAAGTGGCCAGGCAGTTACATTAGCATAAAAGTGCTTTTGCTTGTATAGCTTGTTTCACACCAGATCTACTCTACAAAGATTTGCTGCCATAACAGAGTGACGAGAAAAAATCATTCTCCAACCAACACAACTGTGCTGGCAAAATCCCCTGTGTAGATGCAGCTTATATCAGCAAACGAGTCCTTTGGCCGATGTAGCTTTTATGTCATTCGGGGAAGTGGTTTAACTACACAAGCAAAGGAACTTCTTTGCCAATATAAGTTGTGTCTCCACTAGGGGGCTTTGCTGTTATAGCTATGTCTGCAAACCTCTTCTAGAGTAGCCCTGGCTTCAGATTCTTCCCTACGGTGCCTTTGCTTGTGTTTGGTCCAGTCTGGTTTCAAATACCCTGGCGATGTGGCTTCTACTGGGAGATGATTCCACAACCTAGCAGATATCGCTTTCAGGAAACTTTTCTGGTATATTTAGCTTACATGCTCCTTTTACCCTTCTATAGCTCTTCTCCTGTGGAGCACCTACTGATTCTCCTTTCTCCTTGGTCTTAATACCCTTATTCCACTGTTGTAGACAATTGCATCCTCTACCCAAGCTATATGTGTTTAAGCTGATTAAGCTTTCCTCCCTGGTTAGTACCCTGCCCACCTATCCCTGCGATGACATGGATTCCTTCTGCCCTGACGCAGCATTACAGTGCAGAGTCACAGACACTGACTTGCGCACTCCCCCCAAGTGAAAAAGGCAACCCAGCAGGTTTGGGGAGTGGTGAAGCTCAGTAACTGATCAGCCCCTTTTCTGCCCACAGATAACACCTGCCGCTTTGAGGACGAGAAGATCTGTGGCTTCATGCAAGACAAGATGGACAACTTTGACTGGACCCGTCAGAATGCCTTGACTCAGAACCCCAAGCGCACTGTCAACACAGGGCCACCCACAGATATCAGTGGCACGCAAGAAGGTATGCAGGCTTCCAGTTTTCCTGTTGCTCAGCTCTGTGCGTATTGTGAGGGTGGAGAGCCACTGAACTGTGTCTTGCCAAACCCTTGTCAGGGGCTCCTTAGCCCTCAGCCCCCTGCCCCCCTACCCCCATTCCCAGGATCCCGAGGATGGAGTGCTGATCTGCTTTCCAGGCACACACGTCTGCTCTGCATGGGGTGCAGGGAGCAGGCGGTTAATTTGCATGCTACTGATTGGCATTAAATATACAATTAAAACGCCCACAACTTTGTTTAAAGGAATAGTGAGAGCTTGTTACCAGCTAATTGCCCGCTGCAAAATGCCCTTGTCCTATCTGATGCTTGTTTTGAAGTCACAGAGGGAGAAGAAAGTAGGAAACTGCTCTAGTACTTAGGAATGTCCAAGTTGATTCCAACCAGATGTTATCTTAAGGAGGGAACCCAGTGAGGCCACCAGCCCACTAAGTCTCCTCTGTGCTGCATCCACTTGGAAGCGGTTTGGGTGAGCCCTCGAAGGCTGGGATTATAAATGTGAATGGTGAGGGTAAGTACTGAGCACCCTGCTTTGGAACAGCCTCCTTATCTCTGCTTTGTGGTCTCCTCTGATTGCCAAGTCTCTGGTGCAGTGCAGATGTGGACGGAGCCCCCTGGATGGGCAGGGAGCATATTCTGCTGTTTTAACCTAGCAGTATTACATTCCTCCTTCCGTAGGAAGGGAAATGAGCACAAATATCTGAACCAAGAGCACATGGGAATCACCCATTTACCATCCAAGTAAATTGCTTGTCCTGTAATTGTTCTCCAGCATGAAAGGGACACTGGTAAAATAAACAGCTGGATTCTAAATCTGTATTGCATTGTAAAGCTGTTCTTCTTCCCTGCATTACTAAGAGGAGGCCTACACTTAAAACACCGTATCGCTGTAGCGCTTTAATGAAGACGCTCTGTGCAAACGGGAGAGTGCTCCCCCCTCGGCTTAGCTAAGCCGCCTCGCCGAGAGATGGTAGCTATGGCAACAGGCGAAGCTCTCCTGCTAACATAGCATTGTCTACACTGGGGGCTAGGTTGGTATAACTGGGTTGCTCGGGGGTGTGGATTTTTCACACCCTGGAGTGACAGTTATACCAGTATAGGTCTGTAGCGTAGACCAGTTCTAAGAACCCCTCTGATATTGTTATTTAAAGATCTTGCCACCCAGGGCAAATTTGTTGGAGCTTCTCACTCAACTGGGCACAGTGAAATTAGAGTGATCAGTTTCACTTTTTCCTCTCTCTCATCCATTTCGCTCCCCAGTTCTCCTCCTGCACAAAGCAGTCAGATTTGGGGTTCCCAGTGCGACAGGGGTAGGACTTAATCTCTCTTCCCCACCCCGCCCCATCCCCAAATTTGAAAGGCACGAGCTCTGCTATGCCAGCTCAAACTGCTGGCCCATCTAGTTTACTGTCCTGCTGCCACTCCTCAGGACACTCCAATGGAGGTGAAAAACACCTGAGCAGGATCAGCAGGGCACGGCTGGCCAAGAACATGGCTGGGTGCTTTCAAAGCAAAGGCTGCTCAGCCAGGGGTGAGAAGAGCAAGGCTGACTCCTTCTCCCAGCATTTCTCTCCATGTTAGGTTAGTTCAGAACCTGCCCTAAATGTTGGTTCTAAGTTGTCAGCATCTCCTTTGCTTTGCAAGGAGGGAGACCCAGTGCGTTGCCTTTCCCCACCTTTCCCTCTTGGTCTGTAGGTTATTACATGTTCATTGAGGCCTCCCGGCCCCGGGTGACAGGAGACAAGGCCCGGCTCATCAGCCCCCTATACAACATCACCGCCAAGTACTTCTGCGTCTCCTTCTTCTACCACATGTACGGGAAGCACATTGGTGAGTCACCTGAGAAGGGGCAACACTGGCCTGGGGTGGGAATCCCCCATGGAGGAGGGTCTTCCAGCCATGTCTGCTCTGTGATCCTCTGTTATCCTCAAATAGTCCTTTTCCACTGCCCCAGTGCAGAGCTGAATGGGGCTGTGAGCCCTGCATTTAAAGCCTTCTCTGAAAAGGGCACCAGTTCCCTGCAGTGCCTACCCTGTACCTTGCAGTAGCCCTTCCACCCCTGAGTCTCGCCCTCCCTACCACACCAGCACCATGCCGCATTCCCGCATGAAACAGTGCTGTGCTCCCTTGATCACCCCCTTGCTGTAGAATACCTGCTCCCCATCACCATCCCCTACAGCAGCCCCTCACCCCTGCTCTTCTATCCCCAGCACTGGAGCATAACGTCACACCCTTGCATCTGAGCTCTCGTTCTCTCGCCACACCGCAGCCATCCCACAATCCCCCTCATTCCCTTCTTGGCCAGCTGTGGGTGTTCCCGTCTCTCCCCTTGTAACAGTGAGGTGTGATATCACAGGAGAGACTGTGGGCCTGGAGGGGTGCAGAGGGAATTGTATCAGGGGCGTATTGTCCCTTTGTGGGACATAAGGGGAGAATGGGGCTCCGTGGTTCCTGGAGTGGTTTTGGGGCGGAAGCCAGTTCTGGCAGGATGACAGATCTGCGGGGAGGGGATTGCATCCTGAGGCAAAGCTATTCTGAGGAGGCATCTTCCCCCATCCTGCTCCTCTGACTACTGAGTTGGAGCCCATGTGCTAAGCAAGCACCATGGAAGAGCCTGGCACGCTAATGAGTTTCCATATACAGTCATGGAGTAATTGCTAATTTGTCACCTCTTGATTATAATTTCATTAATTTGAATAATAGATGCACTCTTCCCAGAGTGCACCGGGTTATTAATCACCTGCTGGACTGGAGCCTGACTGAAAAATCACAGCCCAGACAGGAGTGTGTCCGCCTCCTGGTAAATGGGGTTAATTAACAGCTCTGCCTCAATGCTATTGAGGTCAATGGCATGGAACATACTCCAGGGACCAGTCCCTTCCTTACACCATGGCTCCTGTGTGTGGCAAGACAGAAGAGGCTGGGGTGCAGGATCTGGGCACTTCCTGCCTGGCTTGGATGATTCTGATTATGTGGCTGTGAACTGCTTCCCAGCAATGAGGAGGTGAAGGTTGTCCCAGCAGTCACTTAGAAGGTGTCCACCCCTTGACCTTCAATGAGGACTCAGGGATGGTCTAGATCAGTGGCTCTCAACCAGATGTACACATACCCTTGGGGGTACGCAGAGATCTTTCAGGGGATACATCAACTCATCTAAGATATTTGCCTAGTTTTACAACAGGCTACATAAAAAGCACTAGTGAAGTCAGTACAAACTAAAATTTCATACCGACAGGGACTTAATACTGCTCTATATACTATACACTGATATGGAAGTGCAATACTTATATTCCAGTCAATTTATTTTATAACTCTATGGTAACAATGAGAAAGTAAGCCATGTTTCAGTAATTGTGAGCTTTGTGACGATTTTTTCTGTATTTTTTTCTGATTTTGTAAGCAAGTAGTTTTTAAGTAAGGTGAAACTTGGCTTACGCAAGACAAATCAGACTCCTGAAAGGGGTCCGGTAGTCTGGAAAGGTCGAGAGCCACTGATCTAGATAATACTTAGTCCTGCCAGGAGTGCAGGGGACTGGACTAGATGACCTCTCGAGGCCCCTTCCAGTCCTATGAGTCTATGATTTTGCCTCGCACTCTCAATGTCGTGACGATTCAGCGGGATCTCAGTATGCTCGTACTTGCTGTATGAGTGGGCGGGACTGTGCTAGGCTCTCAGGGGTAGGTTGTGCTGAATTTACACCCATGTCAGTCCCACTTCACACCAGGATTTTCTGTGCCTGCTGGACTCCTCCAATCGCTCCACAGCGATTGAGTCACAACGGGGTACTGGCATGGCTTTGTGCATGGACGATCCTGACCTCCTCTGATCAGGTCAGCCACAATTGCCTGTTGAGCGAATCAGGAGCTTTTGCTGCGGACTGACCAGTGTCTGTTTTTACCCAGCCCTTCTCCAGACATCATAGGGCTAGTCTACTCTGGCAATGTTAAAGTGCTGCCGTGCTTTCAGCGCTGGGGCACTGATTACACCGGCGCTTTACAGCGCTGAAACTTGCTGCGCTCAGAGGGGTGTTTGTTCACACCCCGGAGCAAGAAGGTTGCAGTGCTGTAAAGCCAGTGCAGACAAACCCTTAGAAGGCTTTTCCCCTTCATCAGTCCAGTGCAGAGTGAGACAGACCAGTGGCGGAAGGAGAAGTGGCAGGGGGAAAAAGCTCCTCCGGCCTTGCTTAGTTTGGGCATAGGGCATTGTGTCTCATACAGGGCACTACAAGCAACCCCTTCTGCAGGACAGAAAAAGACCCTCTTCCCATTGGAACCGTGAAGCACCCACATTTAACACGGTGGTCTGGGTTTGGTTTGGAGAGAGGATGAAATGGATGCAGATGGGAACAGATGCACTGGAGTTCTTTTGCTATGGGCATTTTAACCCTTTCTGCATTGACTCCAGCTACTAAGAAGCCAGAAAGACTCAGTGACTCCAGAGATTTGGGAAAACCACTGGGTCCCATTTCCATGCCCCACCCTCAGGAATCTTTCAGCTTCTGTTCATTTCTCCATTCAGACTTAATATGATCCTTCCTGTCTGGTCCCCGCTCCCTTCTTGGCTCCCAAAGGGGCTGTTAAATTTGTGCAAGGTGGCTGGATTGGTTCATGTTCATGGTATGTGATGATTTCCCAGGGTGGGTGCTGCTGAGCTGACGGTGAATTGATTCTTTAAAATGCAGACTGACTGGATAGAGTCAGAGGGGAGAGAGGATGAGAGAGAATTCTTTTCCCTCTGCCTGATGGAGCTGTGGCCCTTGTGCTGTGGCCCAACAATGCATCCTTCCATAAATCTGAGTTCATATACTTACCTTCTCTCTGTTTTAGGGTAGTGCCCATCACTACAGTCTCGAATCATTCTGGCTTCAGTATAATTTGCTGGGACACCAGGGCAAAATCAGCATGTTCCCCATAAATCCGAGCACCCACTAACCCTAACACTACCCTGCCTGTCTCACCAAATCTTGTTCTGTAAGGTGACCTACTATCCTACTGCTAGCATGAAGCTGACTAGTCTTCCAGTGGTGGCATGTCACCAGCTCCTCTTCTCATCCCTCTGGAATCTGACCCAGCATTGGGGATCTCCACTAGTATCCACCACATTTTTGCACCTGATCCTTCCCTGGATGCTCCTGCCTTCAGCAGCCCTCCAGCCTGAGGGCTCTCTGGGCAGTAGCTAATCTCCCCCATTAAGGACACACTGTGTTCCCTACAGAAGGCTCTGTGGTTAAATCTTGAGTTCCAGCCTGTATTTCTTGCTCTAAGAGCAGTTTTGCTTGCACGATCAGGGGATCAAGTGCGGCCAGGCCCTGCAGCTTTAGCACTGCTGAAGGGTGCCAAATGTGATGTCTCTTGAGGCTGAAGTCATCCAGCCACAGAGCAGGACCAGCCCAGTCAGGGCTCCAGCTTTCCAGTTCATTCAGTCATTGGTCTCTTCACTGGGACCTGTTGTGCCAAATGAGGAACTGGACTGAGACCTCCCACCCAGCCATGTGTCACACCTGACAATCTGATGGCGATGACTTAGTCACTGCACATCTGAGCCACTTTCCTTTCACTCCCCCTAAGCCGTCCACACGTGCACCGTGCACACTAGTGTTTATATCCGGGCCAGCACAGCTGTATCAGACCCAGCACTAGCATGGGCCCATCATATCAGTGCCAGCCTGTGTCCCATTTGCATGACCAGAAGTATGACAGCAGGCCCAGGGCCAGCATGCATATGAGCCCCAGCTTCTCCCGGCAGCTGGCTCTCCACCACGGCGCCATGCAGTCCTGTGCCACCATGGAAAGAAGCAGGGTAAAAGTCAACATTTATTTCTTTTTAATCACTTGTTTATTACCTTTTATTCCCCACCACCACCACCAGGACTTGGAAGCTGCTTTACTCTCACAATTTGACTATAAAATATCCATAGCCATCCATGCAAATCTTCCCTGGGAGAGTTCTAAGCCACTGCTCGTTTATAATAGATATGATGAAGGAGAGAAACCGAATACAAATGGAGAGTTTGTAGCCGGGGTATAAAATATTCAGTGACTAACAGAGCAGGGCAATGTTGAATGTCTCTCAGCTGAGCCGAGAGCTGGATGGAGGGGAGCTCTCTGGGGGCACTTCCCATTCCCCTTGAGTTATTTGGCTGTTGCTTCTTCCACACACACACACACCGCCTCAGAATTAGGGTTCCCGGTGTCCTGTGATCTTGAGATGCCCTGAGGAACCTAGAGGTGGGGGATCCCCTTTCTACAATGCAGGGTGGCAAAGCATTTTGTTTGCAGTAGAAGGAAATCTAGAAAACAATTATCCTTAGCCCTTCTTTGGTGTGTCTCATTCAAGGATCCCTTTACATTTCACTTCACCCACATGAATGAACGAATTCACACACCCCATGAAAGGGTTCAGTACCATTAGTCCTGTTTAACAGCAGAGGAAGCTGAGAACCAGAGAAGAGTCTTGCCCAAAGTATCACGAAAAGTCAGTGCCACAGCAGGGAATAAAACCCCGGAGTCCTGACTGCCAGTTCCCCACTTCAACCATTACACTAAGCTCCCTCCCTACAGGATACTAGCATAAGAGATTAATTGCTGGAGCTGCAACAGTCTATCTTACCATGACTAATCATATCCAGATCCACAGCTATTTATCTATGGTGCTTCTTGATGTAGTAGTGGTTGGGCTTTTGATCAATGCTGTGCAAATGATCCACTGTTCCAGGACAGCACCACGTCTCTTCTCTCCTGACACACACACACACACACACGCCATCTACCTTACAGTGAAGATTGGGATGCCTCCTTCAGTTACTCGTGTTGTCCGTTGCAGTCCCAGA